GTCAGTTTTAAACACGCTCAGATGGGGCTGGGGGGAGAAGTGTGTGCGTGTTGGGAGGGGGGGCGGTTAATTAATACAGATGTGAAACATTGGGCTCCCGATCGATGGACCTTGCCATAGATATCTGCTCCTGCACTGGATCCCGGCTCCCCTGCATGCGTCGAGAAATATACATATATTTTTTCGCTGAGCCAAGCAGGCTCACACTCGGTTTCTCAGACTACACTGAATCCTTTCCAGAGTGGAAGGAAATTCTCCAGCTGCCCGTTAGACAAGCAAAACCTGGACACTTTTGTCCGGTTTTCATGCTGGAGTGGAAGTGCTCCGCGAATGGGATCTCTCTGGGCCCAGCTAGAGTCACTGAGGATTTTCCTGTGACTTCCCTGAGCTTTGGATCTAGTCCGATGCCTCTGGCTGAAACAGAGATTTTCTCCTGACAAACCTCCCACCCATTCCCCCGTACTTTTTTACATCAAGCTCTTTCCCAAAACACACATACGCACGCACACAACCGTGGTGGGACTGTTAATACCAACACAGACATCCTGAAAGTGTTCTTTTTTTTTTAAAAAAAGGTCTATTTTGTTTTTCCTTTATTTTTGTAAAAACAACTGTCACGTTCATGAAAAATACACGTATTTATTCTCCTCGCAGTAAAATATCTCGTATTTATTCTATCTCCTACAGCTGCTGAAGAACTAATTGTTCCACTGTCTGATGTGTGCCATTTAAATGAGGGAGAGGATGAAAAATGCAATGGAAATCCTCGCCTAACTACACGGTCAGAGCTCTTTTCCTGTTTACTCTCTTTATATTTCCTCAGTTCACCAGCTAGGGAGGATTCTTTCTTTCTTTTTTCTAAGGACGAAGAGAAAAAAAAAATCCCAAACCTTCTCTGTCACTAACTGGCAGCCAGACATACCCACGCAAGCTGCCGAGACCCATGCGACTGAACCCAGCCTCGGAAAGATACCCAGCCCAATGGAGGTGGAAAGTGAGGGATGGTGGGTGTTTGATGTGACCGGTGCCAGGTACAGGGAGAAAGGGAAATGTTGTTGCTATGGCGGGAGTGTGGTTTGAAATATGCCTAGGGGGTATCCTGAGGCCCTGCCTCAGCCCACTGCAAACTTTTGGGAAGGACTGAGGTCCCTAGGTGAAGCAAGGTGACTTGGGGATGAAGACAGGCGTGTTGTTGTGGCTGCCCTGGATAGGGAAGCCGGACAGGCATGTCCCCATTCTGCTTTAGCCATATTAGGTGCAACATCTTAAGACCACTGGCTTATGCACAAGGAATAAGCCCCCCCTTGCTCTCAGCAGCATTTACATGTGCAGATGGACCTGCCTGTCTGGTTCCCTTTTGATTCTCCTTTGCATCGCATTAACAGGTTGCTTATTCCGTGTGATTAAAGCTGCTGGTATCTCACTTTAATAAAGCGTAGGCTTTGCGACATGAGGCCTGATTTTAAGGAGAAAATTGACAGGGACAGGACAGACAGAGGACTGTGCAGCCCCCTGGGATCAAGATGTGGGGAATATGATATTAGTGCAAATGAATGACGGACAGACAGAGGAGAACGTACAGACAGACGGACAGACAGTTCTGGCAAACTTGCTGTCTACCTGGGTGTGCAGTTAGGTTTTCAGTCATATGTCATGGTAGGCGACATGATAGCAAGTACTTGGATTACTGGCTGCAATTCATTACATCAGTCGAAATTATTTCTTGCCATCAGTACAAGTCAGATGCTGAGAGGATTAGCAGGTTAGTAGCCTGGCACACACCTATCGCTACAACATGCCTCCCCCTTTGACACTTCCCATATTTCTCAAGCAGCCCGATCCCTGCGATCTGCGGCGGGCTGGTTGCGAAGTTCCCTTTTTGAGACTAGCCCACTCAAGAAGGGGCTTTCAAAACCTGGACACCTCTTTATCATGCCCTGCAAACCAAGCACACACCTCGGCCAGCTATTCAGAATAGCACGTTAAAAAGAAAATCCACTCCCTATTCCTATCCCCTATTCCCCACCCAATACCAAGATCTCCGGGCCAGAATTTGAATGTGTTATTTGCATCGGTATCTCTGCTCTCAGAGCAGGCAGGCTGCAGGCGGGGATACCAGGGTCAGTCTGTGGGTCCAAGTGAATCTAGAAGTTGGAATTGAGACAACCAAGATACTGAAAAGGCAGGGAAAACTGCGTGAGCAAGGGGGGAAACTGTCCTCCACACTGTGCAAAATGGTGACGTTCTGCTGCTTTGTGTGGAGACAGACATGTGTCCACCAAATGTTGCTCTGCTATTAAAAATCTCTGCTTGAGTTGGTGGGGGTGGGGGGGTGAGGCTGATCCCCAGGACCTGCAATGAGGTTGTGGGGGGAGAAAAAACAACAGCCCTCCTCAGAGTATATTTACTTTGAACTTTTTTAAAGATGCAGAAACAAAAGCAGAGAGGCAAGAGAGGTCAAGAGAGGAGGGTGATGTCCCCCCCCCCTGCAAATTTAAACACCTGGATTAAAAATAAACGGCAATCAGATAAAAGCATCCCTACGAGGATGTTAAGGACAAAAGCATCAAATAGAGAAGTCTGTCAGTACCAGCCGTCATAAACCAGGGAGGGTTTCAAAGGCAAATACCTGGTCGCGACTTAGTGACAGGAGTTTTATTGTGTGGGCTTTCGCCCAAGGAACATAAAAGAGAAGAGCCCTTTACCAGCACTTTGACACCCGGACAGGAACCCTGGCAAATACTGCACCTCTGTTTCACGCCCTCCCCCAATAACTTTGTTTAGTCAAAGGGAAAAAAAAGGCGGCGGTAATGAGTTTTTCAGGACTGCGACACCTTTGGGGACAAGAAACAACCTCACTTTGGGAGCACGTCTGCCCGGAATGTGAGGCTAGAATGCTCCTAGC